TTAATAATAATGTCATACCATTCTCTACTAGCGTAAAGAACCTTGGTCTGTGCATCGATGGTTGCTTAACATGGAACAAACCTATACAGGAGGTGAGTCGCAAAACTACTGGAACTTTGCGATCTCTATATCGATTTAAAAACTTTCTTCCCACCAATACCAAGATTTTACTTGTCCAATCACTTATTGTACCGATTATTGATTATGTCGATGTGTGTTGCTCAGACCTGTCTCAACTTCATCTTAATACATTGGATCGTCTGCTAAACAACTGCATCAGATACATTTATGGTCTTCGTAAATACGACCATGTATCTTCCTTTCGTACACGTTAAACTGGTTGCCTATCCGTCAGCGCAGATATGTTAGAATACTCTGTACCCTTTTCTCAATTTTGAACGATCCATGTGCTCCCGAGTATCCGAAATCTAAATTTCAATACATGGGAGATTCTCATAATTTTTCTCTCCGTTCCTCGGCCAATCTTAAGTTACTCACTCCTTTACACCGTACTGGTTATTTATCTCACTCTTTCGCCCTCGTGGCCATCAGACTCTGGAACGACATCCCTCTTGACATTAAAAAAGCTCCCAACAAATTCGTCTTTAAAAATCAAGTCCGTAAGTATATGATTAAATCGTTGCAAGTTTGAATTGACTAAGCGCTCTTTTTCGTATATATTTCATATTTGTTCTGACATATATAATATTTATACGAACCTATTGTGTATGTACATATATATAGATATATATTTATGTATTTATGTGTATACAGTGTATGTATGTAAGTATGTATGTATGTATGTATATTCTATTATATATTATATATGTATATATATATATGTATGTATATAATATCTATGTATTGTTTATTACATATATTATTATTTCTTTTATCCTCTCTATTTGATTATTGCTGCACCGCCTCCATAATGTCTATCTCTGTTTAGCCTAATGGTTGACTGGGAGAGAATGCCCTATGGCATTAAGTCCGCCATATGTACTTTTTTTGTGCATGAAAGTATAAATAAACTTAAATAAATTAACTTCTCATTTATTCAATAAGAGAAAAAAAATTGTTTTCTTATCGGTCACCACGCTCAAAAAGTGTAACTTGATTTAATATCAAAGACTTAACTGCATAAATAAAATAAATAAATAATTATAATTGCATAAGTTGATAAAAAATGCTATGCAATAGCTTTACCGCGGCAGTCACCGTGTGCCACACGTATTTTTTTTATCATAGAACAAACATAGGGAGAATGATAAGTAGGTATTATTAGATTGTATTGTCAAATAGGTAAATTATATCGAGTAGAGTTTTTAAATTTTGTCATTTATTTTGTATATTATATTTGGTTTTTTTTAAATATAATATTACATAATATTATATCACAATTACTTTTTAATTATATTTTTATCTGTATATTTTAAAAGGTTACTATGTCAAATATAAAAAAAACATAATAAATGTATATTTAATAAAACTTATTAATATAACATTTAAATTACATTTTACAGTTCATAAATGCCGGCCACGCGAGACTTCAAAATGGACGAATTTATTCCACTTTTACTTTGATGTGGAAACCTAAAAATAAAATTAAAGAATAATGAGCAGATTTAAATATAAAGAAATTAGCCTTATTATGATGATTTATACATGTTTCTACAAAAAAAAATTGTGAATAATTATATATTCATCCTATACTTAAACGTCCTTACTTAAGTACTCACAGAAATGTCACATCTGAACAAATTAATTTCGTAATTTGTATTCCATGACACAAGATGGCGTCTTAGGAACAATTTGTTTTATTATTAATCTGGTTTGGGCTGGTTCATCCCAGAACAGAGGTGATTTTCCGAACCAGTGGTAAATTAAAAAAAAAGTTACTTTCAATACGTATAATATATAATCTTTATTGAATAAAAAAGATTCCGTTTCTGTTTCCGTATGTATGGCACTATAACTTTTATAAAATACTGTTTCCCCGACCAAAGATTTGAACCATTAGCCCCATCACATCTAAAAGAATGACCGGAACTCGCGTCATTATACTTGACAAGCATTATAAAAACGTTGCTTGTACCACTAACAAAGCAACGTTGGAAGCTCGGGGTGACCTGTTTGCTGAGAAGCGGTCTGTAATGAATAGAAGTGAATAGTTCCATTCACTATAAAAGCCTTAGAAAACATTCAATTCAAAGCAAGACAGAAAGCTAGGCTTAATTAAAAAAAACTCTTATTGCGTTTTCTGCAACGCGAAGACGACTGTGTTACTTATTTCCTTTAGAATGGGTGACGAACGAGGACAATTTAGTAAAAAGATAGCTGCATCAATCATTAATTAGGATTCAAAATGCTGGTATCGTCACCTTTGAGAAATGAAATGGGTAGTTTTAACCGACTTCAAAAAGGAAGTGGTACTCAGTTCGACTGTATGTTTTTTTTTTAGAAGAGGGGGCAAACGAGCATGCGGCTCAGCTCGGCTCGGCTCGGTTAAGTGACTACCGCCGCCCACGATCAACCGCAACATCAGGGGAGTTGCAGATGCGTTGCCGGCTTTTTAAAATGGAGTAGGCTCTTTCCTTGAAGGTCCCCAGGTCGTATCAGTCCGGGAAAATCGCCGGTGGTAAATTATTCCACAGAGAGGTCGTACGCGGAAGAAAACTCCTTGTGAAATGTACAGTGGTGGACCGCCTGGCATTTAGATGGTGTGGAAGGTATCGGGACGTTCACGAAATTTCTATACGTTACCTCAGAACTTTTCCTGAGTGATCTTTTTTCTGAAAAATGCCTTTTCCTGTGGTGATATATAAATTTTATTATTTTCTGAGCAGTAGTTTTTGAGTTACCCTTAATAATGCGTATATGCGACTATATGTATATGCGCCTTCGACTACATTGATAATGTTCTCATTTGATTTGTATTTAAATCGGTTGTACAATTTTTTTTACCACTTGTTCCTTACTAGTAACAAGAATATCCATGATATAGAAGAAAATTTTAGTGTGGAGGTAACTCAAAAAAGAGAGTGTTCGGTACTCTACTCACCATACTACACAGCAGCATTATGCTGATATTTTACGCTGGTATACTGTGCTTTCCTTTTCCGGTAGACCGACAGCCGACCGAATCGTTACTTTTTATAGAATAAGAGTGACAATATACAAAAGATAGAGTGATAATACAAAATAAGGCGCACAGTCCATCTTATGGTAAGTGAATGCGGTGGCCCATAGATATATACATCTATTCATGATTACATATCAAAATGTAGTAATGCCTCGTTTCTAGTAAAAAGAGCCTCTGGTTACCTATACTCTGAGGGAGGTATTTAGCGCTGGTATTCTATGAGAGTTTGTGCTACAACTATAATGAAGCTGTATCACGGCTCTCCCACGTTATAAATAGCTGCTCTTAATATTTCCGTAGTAACTATTATATGCCCAATATTGTCGTAGTAATAATGCAAAATGTTTTAATATTAACATACTATATAATATTGTGTACGTGTATATTTAAGTATATATTTATGTTTACATACTATAAATAAAATAAGAAAGAGATGTAAACAAAACTGATAATTCATCTTTGTAAAGTCAGCTGAGACTCATTTTATTTTTGTTGGTTATGGGCTCTAATGGCACAGGTGCACTGCGCGCTAGTGTGAAAACCGCTTCTAAATTCTTTGTTATGGTGCGAACTGTCAAATAAATTTGGTTTTATTTTTATTTTTGACACCCCGGAAGTATAACCCTAAGTAATAGAAAAAACATTCATTAAAAACGTTTCACAATTGACAAACATATTATCATTCACATTATCATTCATATGAGAAAAGAACATACAGTCGAGATGAGATAATTTATATTTCGATACCGCCATGGTTTACTGATGTAAAAAAATAACTCAGTTGAGGAATATCACGTATCATATGTACTAAAAAAAAGAAAAAATAAGCTAGCCTTATGGCGGCCACACACGCTAGGGTTTGCATGATGATTATAACTTTGCATGCAAAACCGACAAGCATAACCGAGTTTCATACTACACATACACGTTAGGTGTTGCATGCACCGCCTTGCCATGAACTCTCAGTTGAGCTACGTGACGGTGTGTGTCGCTTACCTCTCAGTTGAGCTACGTAGTACGTGACGGTGTGTGTAGGACGCCAATACCAAACTACAATAGACGGCGACGATGTGATAGCTGTACTTGGCCTAACACTTGTTCTGCAGAACAGAAAAAGATCAAAGAAGATAAACGATGGTTATTGAAAAGAAAGCAATTCTCCCACGTAAATTTGATAAATGAATTTTTTTTTTATAAAAAGAATATTAACAATGCTATAAACATTACTAATATTCCCCTTTATCACTCGTAGTAAGCTTAAATTCCTTGTGAAAGAGTGGTTCACGCCAGTAGTCGAATGGCGGATTCGAACCCACGACCTTTTTGAGTTCGCGGTCCGCGCCCTACCATTAGGCTGTCTGTCGCTTCGAATTGAGATTTACACCAACAGATTACAAAAATTATTTACGAATGGATGAAAAAATTTATTTGAAACTATTATCATTGATTAATCCGTTAATACAAAGACAAGATACTGTTATGAGGAAAGCAATATCAGCACATGAGAGACTAGCAGTAACATCAAGATTTCTTGCAACAGGAAAAACATACGAGTGTCTAAATATTCTGCTATTATATCACTTCAGGCTTTGGGCCGAATAATACCAGAAACATGGGATGCTATTTATGAAGCACTGAAAGTCGACAAACAGGTAAGTAAATAATTAAAAACAAATTCAAATCGTTAGACGAGTTTAATAGGTATGTACATATTTTAATTAACCAATTACATATTTAAATCATTTGTGAATTAAAATTTGAATAAAATGTTGCTGTTGCTAGTTGTGTGTCAAATTCTGCTTGTAGTGTTGGTGAGGACTGACGTTGTGATGCAGGAGAAGTAGTTTGTTGTTGAGTGTTATATTGTTGAATTGGAGATACGCAGGGCTGATTTTGCGGTGCAGGAGAAATCGTGTACCTTTGTTGTTGGGTGTTGTACTTCAGGCGTAACAGAAGCGGTATGAGTATACGGTTGTGTATAATATTGTTGAACTAGTGAGGGCGAAGGACTTGGAGTTCGTGAGAGATTAGGAGTTGGTGAAGAAACAAAAGTTAAACTTCGACGATTCTGAATTGTTTCGGTATTCATATTGCCCATCTCGGCATCGAACAGGGTGTCGTTAATTATCTTCTCCGCAATCAAGCGCTGACGTTTGTCTAATGATCTTAATTTCATTGCGATAGATCTTCCCAAAAGATCGTAACGATCTTCTGTTGCTAAAGCAGAAGCAGGACGCTTAAAATGGTCTTTCATGGATGGTAATATGTCAGTAGTTAAGTGATCTTGCTCTGTCATTTTCTTTCTTCCCGGTATAGTAGCAGGTAATGGAGTATTCTTAGGTGTCGTAATATCGTCTGTATTCTATGTACTAACATTTTCAGCAGCATTATTCTTTGTATCTATTGTATTTTCAGTCGAGTTGCCAGCATCCTATAACACAACAAAATAATATTTATTTTAGTTTCCAGATTCATCGGATAAATGGAAGGAAACCGCACAACTTTTTGAAGAGAGATGGAATTTTGCTCACTGCTTGGATGCCATAGATGGAAAACACATAGACATAGTGCCACCTGCTGATAGTGGACCTTTTTTAATTACTACAACTATAAAAAACGATATAGCATGGTTCTTACGACAATAGTTTATGCCCAATACCGATTTCTATTAGCAGATTTTGGTACAAATGTAAGAGTTTCCGATGGAGGTGTTTTACAGAATACAACGTTTTTACAAATGAAATATTTAAATCTTCCAAACTCCGAACCGATTTAACACAGTTAAAGGTGTTTGCCATATGTATTTGTTGCTGATGACGCATTCCCGTTGAGACCTGACATGCTGAAACCATAGCTATGAAAAAAAATTTAATTGTAGATTATCTTGCGCATGACGCATATACTCGCGCATACGTGGTAGAGCCATGCTGCAGTTATATTAGTAGTATAGTTGTAGCGCGAATGGGTCGGCTCGACCGGGGAACGACCACGCTCTCACAGAATACAGCGTGAAAAGTAGTTAATGCTGCTGTGTTTCGTATGGTGAATGTAGAGAACCGGAGACCCTTTTTACTGGAAACGAGGCATTCCATCTTAGTCCTCATGGGTGACAACGCATCTGCATTTTGATTCGTAATCGAGGATGGATGTGGATGTCTATGGGCCAAGCAACCACTTACCATCAGGTGGACTGTGTGCTCGTTTGTCATATCTATTAAAAAAAAAAAAGAAAAATAGTTAAAAACGCTTTTGGCATACTAGCGTCAAGATTTCGCATTTACCATACTCAGATTAATTTAGTACCAAACAATATAGAAAAAGTGGTGATGGCTACATGTGTTTTGCACAACTTTCTAATGGAGCACACTCCTAATTCATATGTACCTCCAAGATGTTTTTATCGAGAAAATGTGGATAATGGAACTGTTGTTACCACGGGCTACGATGCCACACGTTCAAACGTAGAAAATTTACAAGTACAAAATCGAGGAAATGTCCTGAATGATGCAAAAAAAGTCAGACTAGAATACCAAACTTACTTTGTCAATGAAAGCAAAGTACCTTGGCAGGATAGTTTCATTGAAATGTGACATATTTCTTTTATTTTATGTAATAATATTGTTTTATTAATAAATGAGCAACCACACCGCTTAAGAGTTTATACTGTAACAATCTATGTAGATACCTACATTTTGTAAAGCTATAAACGACGTTGCAAAAAACTTAGGTACAGACGACCACATATCACGCGTTATAAATTGTCGAGAGTACCTACCCTATCTCATTGTAACATAAACGATATGAAAAAATGTACTTAATTGTTTGTGGTCGACCGTACCTAGTCCATAAATTCCAAAATAAATAATTCACTAATTTATACTTACATTCGAATCATTCTCGTCAATGTCCGAAATGTTAGATCGCGAGCTGCGAGGAACATCTTGATCTCCAATCAAATCGAATAATTCAAAGTACCAGAGTGTTGGTTTATAAATGTCATCAGATGAAGCTCCAGACTTCACAGATTCATCGTATTTTTTCTCTCTCGTCTAACGTTGCTGCGTAACGTATTATTTTTTTAATCACATCATCTTTTGTAGCAGTTGGCTCCAATTCATTGAGCTTAGTTATTAATTTCTCGTACGCTGTCCATCGTTTGTCTCTGTCGTGATATTCTTTGCACTTTACGCGCCAAAGACAAGGTTCCGACTTATAATTCTAATGTTGCATTGCGCTTGCGACTCGCCATTTTCGCTATGATGCGCGCGCGCTACCTTCCGCCGTCGCAAACAATTAAAAACTGAGAACTGTGGCCGGCAAGCTCGCCGGACGCCACACACGCTCGGTTATGATCGGTATATTAAACTGTACAGTTATCGGTGCATGTACATGCACCGATAACTGTACAGTTTAATCATATACACGCTAGGGCTTGCCTGTCGGTTATGCATGCACGGCTAAAACCATCATGCAAAACCTAGCGTGTATGGCCTCCATTACAGTATACACCTAAGATGTTATATGACATAAAATGTCAAAGTAATATCGACAGCGACAGCAACGATCCTATTTACGCTCCAGTGACTGAGCAGCGACAAAAATTAACCTCATACTCAAAATTTAAAAATGCTAAATACAAATAATTACTCATTATTACTCACTTGCATTTTTTATCAATGATCTGCGCTTTTTTCAGACACTTACTATCAACAGTAAATACATTTAATATAGTTTACACATGTAAATTAGTTGATATAACAGCACATTTAACTACCAAACCGCCGCCTACCGTGGTCAAATTAAATAGCGCGAGCTCCCTGGCTTCCTGTTACACACTTCCATCCCTTTCATGAAATCACTCCCACAATTTGGGGAAAAACGAGACAGTCGAATTTAGAATACTATTTTTTTAAAGTCGTTTATGAAATAATTTCACTCAATAATTTAAAAAAAATCCATTTCCAAAGTATATAAGCTTAAACCTTTTGATACGAGTGTTGGTGCGAGAATCGACCAAGGAGAACTTATAATATACCCGGAGCATTTTTTCCTCATTTTCCAAATTGCGTCTTCTTGCCTTCAACGGCGTAGCAATAAGCAATTTTATGTAATGTTCACACGCCTATCTCTCCCTAGAGAAATGTTTGCTATCCCTTGAGCTGAACCTCTTGCATTTAACGAAAGGGTATTGAAGTTATAGTGTGTACAAGTAAATATTCCCTATTTGGTGGTTATATTGAAAGGGTATGTAAATAGTTTGTAGGGAATTTGTTGTTTTGTTTCAGGAATTAACTACGCCACGCAATAGCGTTGGACTCAGTGGCGAGTGACCTAGATTTGCTTGAAACCAATCTTGTCAGTACAGATCAGTAAGCTAAAATGGCAATGGGTCGGCCATATAGCTCAAAGAACCGAAAAAGCTCGGGGAAAAAACATTCTCGAATGGCAGCCTCGTACCGGTGGGCGAAGTGTATGACGACCTCCCACTAAATACACTAATACACACACACACACACATACACACACAGATATATAATATATATATTGATTAATGTTCAAGATCATTATTAAATTTTAATACATATATATATATATATATATATATATATATATATATATATATGTATTAAAATTTAATGATGATGTTCAAGACATTAATCAAAAGTCTAAAATGTGTCAATTTACTTGGTCTGTCAACACAGCGAATCGGGTTTGGCGACGCCAATCGTCGTATAAAATAAAGTTGACAGCCATTCTATTATATGGTATTATAGTATTCTATGATTTTTAGCACTTACCATCTATTACATATCTAAATCTCTCTAGGGTTGACTGGTAAAGAATGCCATAAGGCATTAAGTCCGCCCTTTGTAACCCTGTGTTTAAGATGTAACACAAAAAAGGTTAAATAAATAAATAAATCGGGTAATGACTAAGTAATACAAGCAGGAAGTTGATAGATGCACGATGGATCATTATTCATCACGTATCAGCCCATGTTCAGCAGTGAACTTTTGAAGGGCTGTAATGATGATGATGAATCTTATGACCAATACTACTATTTGGTGATGGAATTAGGTAAGAGAGAGAGAGATATAGATAGAGAGAGATAGAGAGAGAGAGAGAGAGAGAAAGAGTAGCACTTAGAGCGAATCCGCTGGACAATGTCTTACTCTTGTTCTTTGGTGGAAATCCTCTTCACCGATTTGTATGTAAAAAAAATATGAGCACATATTTTCCTTGATTTGGTTGAAACCAATATTAGATTGGGATAGCAATCCGACACGACCGGAGATAGATCAGATACAGGACAGACACTTTCCGAGACACGGGGGTGAGACACCGCTACCTTCTTCGTTCCGGGCTACTACTGGGAACGTCTTGACAGAAAAATTCAACACCTAGTTTTGCACATGATAAGCAGTTTTATATACAACACTCGTGCACGTTGTTTTGTTTACAGGGGAATTCTCTTCAGAAGCCATCACTACAGCTAATTTTATTGCTAATATGCACAAGCTGTTTGATAGTGTCAACACATGCACACCAGACCTAAGAAGGGGGAAACCATTTTCGATAAACACGAATAATAATACATCACATCTCACTTTTATGAGGATTTTTTAAAAGAAATGATATTTCTGGGATGCAGACGAGCCCCTCCATGCCAAGAACGTTGAATACGGTCCATTAATGGAATAGAACGAATCTGGAGAAATCTGAGTTCTAAACATAAATCAATAAAAAGTTTGGAAATAAGAAGGCTCCAGCAAGACCTATAATCCTGTAATCAGGTGGCTAAACTATCCGCCGTTACCAACACTTTTTTATGGGAAAAGTTAACAATCAAGCACACATTCCACCGATGGCAAGTGGACGCTGTGACCCATTGACGCTTTACAGCACTCATGGTCACGGGCAGGACTGTCCTGCCCGTGACCATGAGTGCTGTAAAGCGTTCGAAACGTCGGGTATTTAAAAAGTTAAATATACGCGATAAATTCCGTAAAAACTAGTATTATTTCAATGTGTAGTGTTCGCGTAAATATAAGAAATCATTGTGTCCTATTATCCTCGATTAAGAATTAAAACACAGACGCGTTCCCACTCCTGAGGCTAAGATGGAATGCCTCGTTTCCAGTAAAAAAGGGTCTCCAGATCTGTACACTCATCAAATGAAACATAGCAGAATTAAGCTGCTATTTGATGCTGGTATTCTGTGAGATTGTGGTTCTTCCCCGGTCGAGCCAACCC